ACACCTGTCCCGGGACATCCCCAACCAAGCCGGCCAGCTTCCCCTTCAGCTGCTCTGCATAATGTAGATACTAACTGGCCCAGCGCAAGGCTGCCTCGTGCCTACGCAGTCACGGCAGGCTCGGGGTATATAGCCAAACCGCCCCCAGCTGGGTGCCGGGCAGTCCCCTCCAGAGGGGATGATCATCATTGCTATTTTGTTCGTCTGTCAAGGCCGGATCACCAGATTGCGACATTCGAAGGACCGTTAGCCCACAGCAAGAGACAAGTTTCGACCGCCATTTCAGAGGCTACATATACATACGGGTGACGGCCGGGGCTGACTGCTGGGGCTGTAAGTTGGTCTCTTTCTTATCTTCCACACCAGGGGTCCAGAGTCAGTCGATCGCTTCTAGAACCTCAACCCACCTTTGCTTCCCGCCACCGCCCAGGGCCTTGGACTCCGGTCATTGGCTTTTATCCAGCTCTCCTGCCCCTTTTCCCATTGTGTCTGCGGTGCCGGGGTGGTAGTCGGTCGGACAATAAGCTCACCGTATTCCTTGACCAGATTTCTTTCAATTCCTTTTCGACTCCATCTCTCAGCCGACCTCTGACTTTGTTGCTAACAAAGCACACACCCTCCCTTTGTTGTTGCCAACCAACCACCAACCCGAACGACGGACGATTCCCGAAATATACTTGCGACCAAATCCCCGGTACCATTCCGATCACCATCCTATCCTAGCACCAGACCGGTGTCCACCATGCACGGCTACTCGTCGTCGTCCGACACGGACGACGAATACAACTACCGGAAACACAAGGGAACGGTCCCAGCAACGACGAGCACGACCGATGCGAACAAGAAAAAGAAGAAGCGCAAGCTACCGCCGCAGCAGAGCATCAATCGTATCTGGAAGCGTTTCAGCAACAAAAAGTTCAACAAGGCACTAGCTGTCCTCCCCTTCGATCCTGTGCTTCCACCGACCATTTCCGACCGCTCCAATGAGTTGCTCAGTGCTGGCTACGAGCGGGCTGCGGAAGAGTGCCGCCGGAAAGTTAGAAAGATCATACAAGAATGCAGGAGAGTCAATATGCGATACCGCGATCCGGGTTGGGATATTGTAAGTACCGTCCCGTACTCGTTTTTATTGGCGGCTTGTGCGACGGGCTTCCGGACGGCCGCATGATCGGCCGCATGCCGCCGGTGCCGAGGCTTCGTCCCACGCTTAACCATGTCGCGAGTGCGTCTTCCATGTTGGTCTCTGTACAATGGCTGACGTGCGTATTTGCGCCTGTTGTAGGACTGGGACCTAAAGTGGGAGAAGGGTCACTGTTTGAACAGTTTGGGTCGCAATAAGTTCGACGTCAGCATGGCTTCCATGCTTAACCCCAGCGCAGTGGTACCTAAAGCAGTCAAACGTGTACATGAGATTTACGAGAAGCCCACTTTCATGGCAAAGATCAGCGGCTCCGATGTCAAGCAGGGTGGCTTAGGCGACTGCTGGCTCATGGCCAGTTTTTCGGGTCTGGCCAATGTTGAAGACGGTATAAAGCGCATTTGTGTTGAATACGACACCAAAATCGGCATTTATGGATTTGTCTTCTACCGAGGTGAGTTCAGCAGTCCTGACAGTACATTTGTGGAGGAAAACTGACAACACTTTAGATGGCGAGTGGATCTACTCCATCATTGACGACAAGCTGTTTCTGAAGTCACCATGCTGGGATTCTCCAAGCATGCAGCGCGATCTTCTTCAACAAATTGATCGGGAGGATGTAGAGCGCGTCTATCGCAAGACATACCAGACCGGCTCCAAGGCGCTGTTCTTCGCACAATGCAAGGACCAGAACGAAACCTGGGTCCCTCTTATGGAAAAGGCATATGCCAAAGCTCATGGTGACTACCTCTCTCTCTCCGGTGGCTGGATCGGCGAAGGTCTCGAAGATCTGTCGGGTGGTGTTACGACGGAGCTCCTTGCCTCAGACATCCTGGATCTGGACGGATTCTGGGATAATGAACTTAGCAAAGTCAACCAGGAGTTCCTGTTTGGATGCAGCACGGGGTTGCTCGACGGCGGCTATGGTGATCGTGACGGTATCACGGAAGGTCATGCTTATGTCGTAATGGAAGCCCGGACACTAAAGGACGGCACCCGTTTGGTGAAGTTGAGGTAAGTTCTTTTGCGCTTGGACACATTCAAGATTCTTGGAGGATTTGCTAACCATTGATTGTGCAGAAACCCCTGGGGCAAAACCAAGAAGGGCATCTGGGAAGGTGCATGGTCTGACGGCTCGAAAGAGTGGACGACCGAGGCGCAAGAAGAGCTAGGTCACCAATTCGGCAGTGACAGTGTCTTCTGGATTTCCTACGACGACTTGCTGCGGAAGTATCAGCACTTTGACCGCACTCGCCTTTTTCGTGACCCGGATTGGCGGTGCTGCCAGAGATGGATCGGAGTCGACGTTCCCTGGAAGCCGCAGTTCAACGAGAAGTTCCACATCAAGCTCACACGCGAGTCACCGTTGGTGCTTGTTTTAAGTCAGCTCGACAATCGCTACTTCAAAGGCCTGCACGGCCAGTACTCTTTCCGCTTGCATTTCCGCCTTCACGAAAGAGACCGGCCCGACTCCGAAGATTACATTGTCCGCAGTCATGGAAACTACTTGATGGACCGATCAGTGTCAATTGAGCTCCCTGCTATGCTCCCGGGCAACTACAGCGTCTTCATCAGTGTGGTTGGCGAACGCGATACCGACGAACCCAGCATCGAGAACGTGGTGAAGCGCGAGTGCAAGAAGCGCGTCGAGAACGAGAAACTTGCCCAGGTTGGCTACGCATACGACCTCGCACACAGCAAAGCTGCAGCCCACCTCGCAGCAGTGAAGAGACTTCGCAAGAACGCCGACCAAAGGAAGGCCAGTGACGCCCGTGTCAAAGAGCGTCGGCGCCTTTGGGAGAAGCGCCATCTGAACCGAGAAATCACCAAGAAACAAGGGCGTAAGAACAACCAGAAGCTAGAGGCCAGGCAAGCAGCACGCGAGGAGAAGAAGCGCAAGGAAGAGGAACTCAAGCGCCAACAGGAAGAGTTGAAGCCCAAAGATAAAGGCGTTCAGACCGAGGATCCTCCCAAGGACGAGAAGAAGCAAGAAGACGACCAGAAGGCAAAGGATGGGTCCAAGTCAGAAGGTGATTTGGGGGAGAAGAAAGAAGAGAAGGTCGAGGAGAAGAAGGACGACGATAACAAGTCGGGCGAGAAGAAAGACGAGGCGTCTAAGAGTGGAGATAAGGATGCTGGCGGCGAGGAAACTCCCCAAGGCACTCCGGCTGACATTCCTGCCGAGAGCCCAGTCGAGGAGAAGACTGAGAACCAGGCTACGCTGTCGGATGGCAAAGCAGGGGGCAAGTCCGAGCAGAAGCCCGACGATCCGCCGGCCAGCAAGGGTGAAGACGAGAAACCCAGCGAAGGCGCCGACAAGCCTGAAGCCAAAAAGTCAGAGGAGCAATCCGATGATAAGTCTGAAGTCAAGAAGGGTGAAGAGTCGGAAGAAAAGACTTCAGATGAAAAGACCGCCGACCAAGAAGATGCGCCTTCGGTCGCCAGCTCTAACTCGTCCAGTGCCGGTGACCTTACACCGAGAACAGATGCTTCCGCGACTCCTGCGATGGATGACAACGACAAGGTCCCTGTGCCACCAGTTGATGCATCCAAAGTCTCTGGCGGGCCTCCTCCTCCGCCTCCACCTCCCCCCGCTGATGCGGCCAATACAACGTCCACTCCAGCTCAGCCACAGCCAGCTCCAGCTCCAACTCCCGCTCCCGCCAAGAAGAAGGCCCCAAATCTCTATGTCACATCAGATGGCGAGTCTAGTGCCTCGCCAATTGAGGATTGGGAGGAACTCTACAGCAGCGACGACATGACGCGGAAACCACGCATGGCTGCTCCTCCCCCGCCCGGCACTGCTGTCGCGAGCAAGTACCGCGATGACACCGATGACGAAAACGAGCCGGACCCGTGGAATGCCATCTGCGTGGTCGGCTTACGAGTCTACTCCAAAGACGAAGACTTGGAACTCAAGATTGTCTTGGAGGGCGGCGAGCTTGAGGAGGGCGGCATGGGTGAGAAGGGAGGTGTTGACCTCGATAACGCGCAAGCAAACGCCGGCGGCGCAAGAGGTCGCAAAGAAGACAAGATTGACAACGAAGAAGATGCATACGAGGGCGATAGCGAGGTTGATAAGAAGAGTATGAAGAAGGATGGAAAGAAGGGTGACGCTGAGACTGACAGAGATGATGGCATCGCGCCTTACCCGGTCATTGTCCAGAAGGGAAAGGGTGATGAGGAGTACGAGAGCGCACTGGAGACTCAGAATGGCGGATGATCTGCTGGATCTCGGCGTAGCTACAAACAGTACAACAAACATTCGAGGCGTTCCGGATGCGAGGATGCATGTGGCGTTTGGCGCGGTGGATAGACCGATTCACGGTAGATAGCCGGGTATTGCATTTCCTGAGAGCGGGCGCAATTGTGATGACTTGGACGAATGCGTTATTCATGTATGGAACAGCAGTTCTGAGTTGGCATAACCCGTACGTATTTGCTTCTTCTGTTTCTTTCATGTTCCAGCACACGAGGGCATCCCGACTTAGTTTAGCGATTCGATACCTTGATACTCTAAATGCACTTCCTCTCATTCCTAGTATTTATTGTTATCCAGGCCATCGCCCCCTTAATGCTCATGGTCATACTCCAAGTGCCCGAACTAGACGGCATAGTTTCAAACCCAAGCCATCATCTGAGTTGTAATAGGTCAGGTAGGGACATGACTCACGTACTGTTGGTTTCAGTTGTTGGCTCACCTTTGGGGGAAATTTGCTCCAGAAGTTCAACAAACGATACCCACTTGCATCCTCTGGTCCCCACAACCGACAGAGTTTTTCCCAAGGGACAGCCTAACAGGTTTTAAATATGTTTCTGACAGAAAGCAAATCAAATCAGATCAGTTCAACCTGGAAACAAGGCCCGGCTGGCGCAATGGTAGCGCGCAAGACTTCTATTATTACAGAGTGAAGGATTATATCTTGCCACTGCCATCTTGAGGCTGTGGGTTCGAGTCCCACGTCGGGTGCATTTTTTTAAGTTTAGGTCGTGTCTCGACATCCTCCTCTGAGGAGGCCGCGTTCTTCTACTTTCGAACCGGCTTCGACGAGAATCACTTGCTTTTTTGCTTTCTCTTGTCCCGAGTTGTGTGTGTCTTTTCTTTTTAATACGGTAATATCGATCGATATATATACCTACTTTTCAATGGTTTATCTAAAAGATGGCAGTCGGCGATCGCCGATCATCATCAATGTTACATGTCAATTACATTCATTTGTCTCGCTGGCTGTCGATCCCAGATAGGGCTGACTGACATGTTGACGTAATTCATAGTGGAAATTGATTGTTCGTAGCTTCGAACTGACTGCTGTGGGCAAACATACCTTATTGATGGAGACGATATCTTTCGAATTACGTCATCGGCTAATAAGTTTGAGGGAGCGTCGTTGGATCGAATGAGAGCCCTCGCCACCTTCTCATAAGAGGCAGCTGTGTTATCCGTATTGCTAGGTAAGTATCTCGCTGGCGGCAACATGATGCACGGGGCAGGCACGGTCCGGAAGGATTCTGATTTTCGAAAAAGGTTCCTACGTGCGGGTATATAGGGAACTTTGTCGTGATAGCTGCTTGAATAAGCAGCCAAAAGCGCCTCCACCCGTTGAGATGTTGGGCTGATTGGCCATGCTTTCCGATGGGGTTGATTAACATTGCTGGACCACTCAGAGGTTTTCGGAGGGTTTGCCTTTAAGCACCTATGGCCTACACGCCGCAAGGCCACCTTGGCGATATTACGAGGCATTGGTTGGTTCTCTCAACTATATGAGGAAGTCATGACCGTAGTTGGCTGGTTGGAGCGACTTATTCAGCAATCATCATATTTGGAGTAGGTAGCACGATAATTCTTAAATAAAGAATGGATTTTACCCCTATTCCTGCCTTGTATTTAATCCCCAAAATCAAAGACCATAATTATTCTCGACTTAGTTAGAGCTCGTGTGTTTCAATCTCTTTTCTTCTTCTTCTCAAATGTGTTTGTTTCCCTGGACAAAGATGTTTCTAATGCCACTATCTCACCATGGCGTCTGAATACTATTCCACGCTTCCCGAGGTCGATGGGCGAGCCGAGGCGGTGACTCTGGAAGCCCGAGTCTCTTACCCGGGCCTGGAACCGTCGCCAAGAAAGTGGACCCCGTCTCGCCCTTCTCTGCCTTCCAGACATGTGCCCTGGTGGAAGCGGTACTGGATTCTGCTGGCAGCGGTGGTGGTGGTGGTTGCGACGGCGGCCATTGTCGGCGGCACCGTGTTTGGGGTCATGCTGAAATCAAGGTCGACGACAAGCGGCAACGGAAACTCGTCTGCGGATAATGGGGGATCGAAATCAGGTTCAGCAAGGTATGATTTTTTTTTGGGCAGCACACTCACCACATTGAATCAGACTCTGACATTAAAGTGAAAGCTGCTACTCTACCATCCAGTCATCCATATCGCCACCCCCTTCACTTGCTACGATGCAGACATCACGCTCAACACAAGCAGCAGCAAACATGGCATCAAAACACTCTACGCGACGAGAGAACACATCATCATCAATCACTAGACGAACAGCAGCATCATCATCGTCAGTAGTGCCTACACAAACATCGGGGGGTCCTTCAACGTCAGGCACGACGACACCGCCATCTACCGCCCGGACTACTCCACCCACGCCACCCGGCGGCACGATGGCAACAACAACAACCTCCACCACCAGTACACCAAATATACCATCTCCTACCACACCGGCAGCATCAACAGCTACCTCCATTCCGACAGCAGAACCCCAAACACCAAAGTATGCCGTCTGGCTCGGCAACAAAATGCTTGAAGGCCAAACCGATCGAATTCCAGTCATGTGGCTCGACGACCCCAGCGTGCCAAACAACGAATGCAAATACCACAACGTACAGGACGTGGCGGGCCTCAACCCGTGCAGCATCCCTTGTCTCCAGTGGGACGGGTTAGAGTACGTCATCAACGGCTGCGGCGGCGACCTCTGGATAACGTGGAGAGATCCAGGCGTTAGTACGCAGACCGAATTTGAACTCTACAGTAATGACTGCCCGTATGTTCCGCAGAATTGGAAGTGTGGGACTACCACTATTCATGGGGATTGGCGGTGCGGGCACCGGATCTAAATGAGGGATGATGGTTCGGAAAGGTGACTGACGGAAGGTCAAGAAGTCGGGAGAGGTAACTGACTACCAGGTACCTACCTACCTAGGTACCTAGGTTTTATATATTTGAGATTCTGTACTGTTATTTAATATTCTGTTCCTTTAGCAAGCGGTTTACCATAGATAGTACAAACATTTTGTGTATATAAAGATTATACGTTGCCGGTTCGATCATCGATCCGGTCCAAGTCACCCAGTCTGACTGGATTTCAAGAATAGACAGAGCTGGATAACGCGAATAGTTCTTCTTCACCATCTACCTACCATCTTGGTGGGTTAAACTGGCAAAAAAGGTAAAAGAAAATGATCCGAGGCGGGCTCGATCCGCCGACCTTCAGTGTGTTAGACTGACGTGATAACCAACTACACCATCGGACCGATGAGAACTCAGCCACATATTATAACATATATGACTAGGTAGTCGGTTCCAGAGCCGAAGCGAAGCTTGCCATCAAAGTGGTCCGAAAGTGAGATAACAATGTGCTCAACATCAAGTGTGGGTTCAGTGTAGTGTCAAAGAGAACCCATGTCCACCGTAGGGGGGGGATGACCAGACACAAGTTTAACATGATGGCTCCTGAAATATCTAACCCAACGAAATGACAGAATCGTACGTCAATAGCGACAATCAGTGAGGCTAGTTACAAAGATACATATCTCATGCGAGGCCGCCTGCCGTCAAACGCACTGCACGTAAGGCAGGTATCCGCGATCGACGCGCCAACTGACGCAGTGCAACATGACATATCCATCTTGATCTCATGCTCACACAACGTCCAGTCGTTTATGCCATCAAAGCAATGTGCTTCAGCTCACTGCAAACACACAAATGTCAGCAAAAACCCAGTTCCCCGAAACAACAAGAAAGGAAAAAACTCACTTCTGCACCTGCTCCCCAACCTTCATGGGCGGATACTGAGCCTCCTCGCCCTCGTCCTTGCCAAGATTAAACTGCTCCGCGCGAACCTGGCGCGCCTTCTCGGCCACCTCAGGAATCGGCGTCAAGTCATAGTCACTCGACAAATGCCAAAAGAAAGTCGACGAGATGCGGACCAGAGGCCGCTCCGGGAATTTCTGTTTGCGGGCCTCAATCACGTCGACCGTCTTGTCATTCACAACAACCTCGTGGAAACCGGCCTTGATTAAGCCTCCGGTGATATGCTCGAGCTGCTTGCCCGCCTGCACGAGCAAATAATTTCCGGGAGGAATCTTGACGGCAATGCGCCTGCCGGTATTGCGCGCCCAGATGTGCAGGCCGGGATACCGCGACCGTCCGTGAATCGTCAAGAAATTAAGGTCGGTGTGAAACCCAGCCAGGATAGTATCCTTCTCGCCATATTTAGTCAGGTCAGACGCCGTCGGCGCGAGCAGGTGCGGCCCGTATCGACCGGCCTCCCTAAAAGTTTCCGCGGGGAGACCCAGCCCAACGGCAGTCATTTCCGTCAGCCCCTCAACCGCGTTCTTCATCGACGCGCCCCACTGGTCCATGGTTGGCGTCCAGCGCTCGCGGATGTGCGGTGCCTCGGGCACGATATTGGCGGCGTTCAGGCCCGGGAATTTTGTCTCGTAGGGCGGCTTCTCGACCATCTTCCAGAAGAACCTGCATTTGGGGTCGGGCGAGTGCGCCGTGATGTCCAGCGGCCGTTCTGAGGGGTCAAGGCGCTCGATCACGCGCAGACAGGGCTCGTCGACGGCGCACTTGGGTTTCTCTGTGTTTTCGAGCGTCACGCCGATCTGGTAGCTCAGCTCGGGGCGCTCGTCCTTCTTGAGGTCTTCTTCGGGTTGGGCAAAGTAGTCCTCCAGCAGGTCGAGGAAGTTGTCGTTGTCTTTTTCGGAAACGCGCGAGTCGTGCAACACCAACGCGCCGAAAGTGATTAGGGCTTTCGCCGCTTTAAGACACTCATCCTGCACGGCCGGAGAGTCGCGCGGCTGGTTGCGAAAGACGTCGAGGTCGATGATGGGCAGGTCCATCGAGGACGAGGACAACTCTTGCGCCGCAACGGTCATGGTGGGGTGGTTGACGTGAAAGCTGAAAAGGAGGGGCTTACGGCGTTTTCTGGATTCCAAGATGCAGAGTGAAGGATTGAAGAAGTGAAGTGAAGATGGAAACACTTCAAAAAAGGACTCAAAGATGATGATTTGTGAATGAAGAGAGTGAGTGAATGTGTGGTTCGGTTTTTGAAGTCAAATTTCTCTCATGATAGACGTCTCCTATCTTAATGAGGAAGGTCATGAACTGGAGCCTGGAACATTTCTGGGCATCAGGGGCACTGCCGAATCTCACCGGCTCACATGCCACGGGCGGACCACACACCTGTAAAACGCCCACCAACGGGGTGTGCAAATCGCCCGGGCTGAGTGGAGTTGGTGGCCATCTCCGTCAGTGGGCATCGGCACCACGCGGTCCATCTCAGGTGGCAACAGCATCTGCCAGGCAAAACAAATGACCATCGCGTCCACTTGTCAAGTGAGACTCTGTTCATTGCACAACGATTATGAGAAGTAAGATGCCAACCAGTCAAATGGACACAAAAAAAAAAAAGACAATGTTGAAATATAAAAAGAGCAAACAAGCAAAATCGAAAAACAGAAAAGTTCATGAGGAAAACAAGAAAAAAATTGTGTCTCTCCCGCCGGGAATTGAACCCGGGTCCCGAGCGAATAGCCGAACCACAGGGGCGGATGACAAGCTCATATACTGACCACTATACTACGGAAGATTTGCAGGTGTGAACACCTGCCGTAGAGGGCTGATTGTTGGAGAACTATCAGAAGATGGGGGTATATATACGCTAGTAGCCTTGATCGGATTGGCTGCACGATCACCCCTAATCCACTCCGTCATCCATTGTCTGCAACAGCAGCCCTGTATACAAAATTTTACACGACTTCTGAAGGATGAATAACATAACAGAAGCTCCGGATAGTTGTTACTAGACCGACATGCTAATTCAACCACAACAAACAGATACCGCCAACCACTTCTAACTTTTGGATATAACGCAGACTCCCACACCACTGACATTCAGACAACCCAGGACCAACCCAGAGAACACCGATGTATCCAATGATCATGGCCTTCGCTATCACCAATCCCCCCCCCCCTTACAAAAGCCGATCTCCCCCAGAATTATCGAGAGAGAGCAGCGATGGTGGTGCCAAGCTTTGTGGAGGAATGACGCCACTTGGCGCTGCAACAACACCACTGACACCAAAAGGGGGGTGGGGTTGTTTCGGGGTCATCCAATGACCTCGCCCAGCCTTATCTTCTCAACACCACGACCAGAACATCAATTCAGGGTTCACGCAAACACACGCTGTTATTTGCCAAGGAGAGTCGCGTGACAGTCACCACCGGGTTTAACCATGATGTATTCTGGTCCAAGAGAGAGTTGACAGGATCGACGCTGGGAAATACCGAGCAGACGGAGATAAATATGGATAGGAAAGGAACAGAGAGCGGAAGGCCAACCCGGGTTGGGTGGTGTGAGAGCAGACAGACTCTGTGCCTGCCAAGACGTATATTTATTCAGTGGTCCCCCCTGCCAAGAGATATCTCCTTTCTCTCACAAAACAATAATTTGCTTGTATGGGGACCCCACTCATCTGAAATAATTTCCCAGACACCACAGCAAGCGTCAGTGAACAGACAGAAGAGCCAAATATATATATACATCCAACCTTTCCAATACTTGCCATACTTTGCTCATCCCGTTGAATCATGGGTACTAGCTCAAAGACAGCAGCCGAGTACGGTACCCGTCGTCGCTCATTCGGTATTGGTGGAGCTGGTAACATCCGTATGTCGTCACGTTTGACACACACACACACACACTCACTCACTCACCCCGTTCATCTTTCTTTGTCTCCTTTTTGCTTCCTTTATTCAACAAACCAATCACTACAAATTACTAACCACAGTGTCGTCGGTCGTGCCGAACATGATCAGGTTCTCTTGCCGAGGTAACAGCCAGTATGATGGCCGAAGAAGGAGGCGAAGAAGGGCATGATCAACATCATCGTCGCCGCCGCCGCAGCAGCGTGTGGAGCAGCGGCACCAGCTCATCCGCTAATACTACTAGCGGGACGACGACGTCTCGACGATCCAAGATCTATGCCAACGTCAAGAACTTCTTTACACCCACCAGCAGCAGTAGTACCGCAGAAGCTAAAGAGAGTTCCGAGTAGACTGTTTGAGACACCATCGGATTCTGCATAGGATCATGTTGGCAATGGTGGAAAGGATGGGAGAGAAATGATTGTATACCTACACCCAGAAAAAAAAAAGGGATACAAAATCGGAGTTTATTACGTAATATTGGGAAGATGGTCGAAATATAGCTTTATGTACCATGGTACTTAGTTGAAGTTTGAAAGCTGTTGATGGAAACAGCCACGTCGTGCCCTGTTCGTACCCTTCACGAGCGCAGTCGAACGTGCAAGTTGAGGAGATGAGTACCTACATGTGTACCGGGCCCGGCAAGAAAAACTCCCCTAAAGTTCTGCCCGCTGGTTTGTAAAGGCCATTGAACCAAGGTGATGATCAGGACATACGTGGAGATGTTATTAACTTCAAATGCATCTGCCCAACCGCGTTTACATTATAATAAGCGGTTCAAGATACTAACGCTTGGTCAACCTTGAGCTCTGTTCCGCAATAGAGAGAATGAAGCTTTATATAAACCTCCTAGTGTCTACGGATCATCACATACGACTATAGGTATTGGGAAAAGCGCGGGATTTCCGTCCGCAGTCTCCCTTGGATAAAACTATTAGTATCCGGATTTTAGTACTTATTTACATGTAGGTATACTACCTACCTACATGAGTCTGATGTGTTTGTTAGGTGCTTGTACATATTCCACCTTACCCAAAACGGATCATGTACATGTTTAGCGGCGAAGTGATATGGTGATAATTGTGCATCAATGGTTTCGCCGCGGCGGCGTAAGTAGCACCTCTCATTTGGCAGGGGATATCACGTCTTGATTGGGCACAGTTATCTGCGATTCAGCTGCCGTCCGGACGCCACAACTTGATGCCCGACTTTTTGAAGATAAGAGGTGTAAGGTAGGTTTAAAAGGACGCATAGTCTTGCTCTATTTCATTGCTCTTCCGTACCTTTTTACATAATTACCTACCTACAAAATGAACACCCAAGTAGCCCAAGAGTACGACACCCAGGGCGACCGCTTCAGCGAGTACATCACCGAGTTCCCCTTCGGCAACCTCGAGGACGAGCTCTTCCTCTCCGCCCTCTTGAGTGAAGACATCACCGGCCAGACCGTGCTGGACCTCGGCGGCGGCACGGGCACCAAGGCGCGCGAGGCCATCGCCGCCGGCGCGGCGCGCGTCGACGTGCTCGACATTTCCGTCGAGATGATGCGCTCCGGGCAGGCCGAGACGGCGGCCGCGCTCGGCGAGGAAAAAGCCTCTCTCATCACGTGGCACGCGGCCGATATCTCCAAGGACATGTCGCACCTACCGATCGACAAACCCGGATCCTACGATCTCGTCATTATCGGGTGGGCGTTCGATCACGCCCACGACCTGGCCGAGTATGAGGGCATGTGGCGCAACGCGGCGGCGTACCTCCGGCCCGGAGGCCGGTTCGTCGGCGTCCGCGTCGGCGACCCGCGGAGCGCGACCTGGGACGGGCGGTACGGGACAAAGACGTCGGCGTTCGTCGAGAGGCCGGAGGAGGGGGTGCTGAGGTATCGGTATGCGATCCTACTGGAGCCGCCGCTCGAGTTTGAGGCCAGCTCGCTCAAGGTAAGCATGGCCGGGAGCACCGAGATCGCCGAGCGGTATGGGTTTGGGGATTTTAGGGACGTGAATCCCGCGGAGGCGGCTCTGGTGAAAGCGAGACCGGATTTCTGGAGGCCGTTTGTGGAGAATCCGGGCTTTGTTGTTTTTCAGGCAACCAAAATGAGGGAAGGATGATGATGTGTTGTAGATGGAGAGTTTGGGAGAGAGAGAGAGAGAGAGGGGGGGGGGGGGGGGGGAGGGGTTATGCACTTAGAGGCTTGGCGGCTAAAACCGGAGGAAATCTAGTTTGCAAAATGAAAAACAATATTCGGTACCTACACTCCAGTCTGCAGCTCTCTGCTGGGGACTTCCTCCTATTTCAATGGCAACTTGACGATATCTATCTAGGTACCTAGGTATGTAAAATGACAAACTAACTTACCTAGGTACATGTAAGTAACCAACTCTATTTTTACGGTTGCCCTGACGGAGATTTTATCATTTCATGATTTCATAATTTTAAACGTATTAATAGGTACCTCACCTTACCTAGGTACCTAGGGATGGAGTCAAACCAGACACGAAGCCCTCTATCCACCTATCCATCTATGAGCAACTAGGTACCTACTTAGGTAAGTACCTCAAACCATCGGACACATTGACTTTAGTCGTGTCGTCAGCAGATTACAGGCTACCTGCCTACACATATCCCTCAAGAAACCCATAGCCCTCCGCGATTCCCCCCTTTTTCCCACCCTTCGTCGTCTCCCTCGTCCAACCCCAGGTCAAAGCAATGCCTGCCCCCTCCCAGCCGCTCGCTATACACCCTCGTCATGCCGGCCCTGATACCGCGCCTCTCCATCTCGGCCACGAACCGCTCCGCCCCCGCAACCGGCACCACTGTCGGCCACGCCGTGATCCACGTACGTCGGAACGGTATAATCACCTGCCCTTAGCCTCGCCAGGGCGCTGATGGACGAGATCAGGTTTGCAGGCGGGTTCGATGACCACGCCGACGAGTCGAGGGGGAGACCGTGAAGCAGGATGGGCAGGCCATTGCCTTCCTTGAAGATGAAGAGGAGCAGCTCGGAGCGGAGATCGCCGGGGCGGACCCAGCCTAGGTGTCGCTCGTCTTCAGAAAGAATGGTGGTGGGGGGGGTTTGAGGACCAGGACGACGAGGTAAAGTTGTTGTAGGCGGTGATCTTTATTTGGAACTGCCATCTTTGGGGACGACTTGATTAGATACCTAGGGTACCTAGGTAGGTAGGTAGTCGCGGACACGGGGGTTGTCGCTCGCCGGCGTGCGTGGGATAGCGGCCATGATATCTTCAAATGACATGGTGCTGCTGGGCAGCGATTCCAACCGGGCTTTATCCAGCTCTGCAGAGAGAAGGAAACATTGGGGGCGACGGTTAGTGACATACATGGGCGTGTAAGTAGGTAATCAGCAAGGGGGCACAGGTCTTGAGAGAGTCAAAAACCCACCTCCAGACTGAAAGTCATACGGAACATAGAAGCTCAGAATCCTTCTTGGCGGGCCGTCCAACCCAGCGAGCAGGCCAGATGCCCGCCGCTCGACCAGCCGGCGGCCACCACCCGCGTCCCGTCGACACGGTGGCCCCTCGCGGCCGCCAAGTCGACGAGGACGGTCTGGGCCCACTCGTACGCCGAGCGAACGTCGGCCATGGCCCGTCAATAAGGTTCACCTCGGGGCAGAGCCGGTAGTCGATGCCAACGGGGAGGAGGAAGCCGAGGCGAAGAAGGTGGCGGGTCTGGGCGGGCCGGATGGCCTTGCGCGAGAGGGTGACGTGGCCGCCACAGGTTTCGCAACACTCGACCCCTGGTTGTCTTCGGATATCCCAACCATGGACATCAGCTGCTCGACGGTGCAGTCGACGACCACTTGCAGCTTGTCCTCGAGCCGCACGGAAAACTGCTCTTCGAGTTGTTGCTGGAGCTCCACCATGGTCA